AAACCCACACCACAACAAAATAATGAGAATCTATGAACTCTGCTCATTGACAACTCTCAACATCAGTAGTCTTAACTGCCCAATAAAAAGACACAGAATAACAGAATAGATTCAAAAACAGGACCCATCCTCTGCTATATCCAAGAAACACACCTTAATATCAAGGATAAGTACTAACTCAGGGTAAAAGAATGCTAAAAGGTTGTGGTGGGAATCTAGCAGTTATTGTATCTAGGTTAAACGTTAGAATATAACAGTTATTTCTGTACCTAGGGTAGAATGTATTCGTGTTTGTTGAAGATACCTAGCTAGACCTTGAAATTGTAGTAAAGAACAGTATTGTTTTCTATGACTTATAGAGTTGTTTTTTTCTGAAGGGGTTTTCCATCTGTTGTGTCACTACGGTCACACTTGGAAGTCTTGATTTATTGGGTACTGCACACAATACACAATAAGTCCTTGTCCTGTGTTTCAGCTATGTTGCATTTCTCAGAGCCTACTATAGGTGTTGTTGAGCGCTGGTGGAGACACACTGTCCTGGCTGTTATTGATTGTGTTTTTACACTGGTGTCTAGGCATCTGGATTTGGAATGATTATAGTAATTCTGGTTGCTAATATCTGGTCTTGTGTTTGTTGGGTGGGTGTTCTGTTCTTTGATTCTGTTGCTTTCTTGATTCTTTGGAAAGTGTGGTAGCTGTGGGTTTCCTGGTAAGAAATGCTTCTGAGATCCTGCCAGGTGTGGGTACCACGGTCCCATAGCATGTGTTTCCTGGTATTGGGACTGACACTTAGGGATGGAGGTGGCCTAGAAGGGGACCGAGGCACCTCAGGAGGTTCGCAGGAGGCAGGAAAGCAGGGTGTGCTACCAGGAACTGTTTAGTCTGATAGGAATGAAGGCAGAAAGGGAGGGGAGGCCACAGCAGTAGTCTGATACTGGGCTGTGGATGAGACTGAGGATTTGGTTTCAAAGGGAGGAGAGACGGGAAAGATTTAAAGCTCTGCTACCTACTTCCCTGGCTTACTCTCTTTTCTGGCAGACTTGGCTGGCAGGTTCCCAGGGAATGTCTGCTGGAATTGGGGGCTGGGATAACAGGATGAGTGGAAAAGAAGGATGGAGGAAGATCTGACTGATCTCCTGGAGGTGGGGACAGAGAGCAGGGGAAGCTGCCTCAGGTGCTATAGAGTTGGGGATGATGGGGAAGGATTGGATTTGGAGGAGGAGGGAGAGTGAAGGTCTGAAGCTCACCTACCTGTTTTCCTGACTGGTGTGGCTGGTGGGGTCCCTGGCAATGCCTGCTTTCCTGGCTGGGCTTGCCAGCTGGTCCTTTTCCTTTTTGCTTTAGAGACAGGGTATCACTATGTAGCTCTGGCCCGCCTGTTCTGGAACTTGCTGTGTAAAATAGGCTGGCCTTGAACTCACAAACTCACAGAAATCCATCTGCTTCTGCTGCCTCAGTGTGTCACCATGCCTGGCCCACCTCAAATTCTTTTTTTCTTTTTAAAAATACATTCATTTTTGTTTCTGTGCATTGGTGTTTTGCCTGCATATATGTCTGTGTGAGAGTGTCAGATCCCCTGGAACTGACTGGAGTTACATGCAGTTGTGAGCTGCCATGTGGGTGCTGGGAATTGAACCTGGGTCCTCTGGAAGAGCAGCAAGGGCTCTTAACCACTGTGCCACCTCTCCAGCCCCCACCTTAAATTCTTAAGAGTAGCATCATACTGGACTGAAAGTGGGGAGACACAAAGGTGTTTTTGTATATTACCCTAAGTAGCACATGCGTTACAGTCATGTGGTTAAGGATACATTCTTGAGAAGTTTTCTTTTCTTTAGGGAACATTCAGTTTTGAATACTGTCCTTAGTTGTCAGACTTCTGTCTAACACCAGGGGTGATTCTCTTTTACTTTCCTAACAACACTAATTTGATCTTGCATTTGGAGCTGTGTGGGGAGCTGTGTGTCTAGATCACCCCTGGACTTCTGTTCAAGTCGGCAGGCCAGTGACTGAGTCTGCTATGGTATAGAAGCAAACATCCTCAGTGTAAGTCATTTGAGCATCAGTGTGCTATCATTGCTGATCAGGGCCAGGGTTGGTTCATTCAGCAGCTGGGAGATGTCTTCTAGGTCAAGGGCCTCTTGACTTCATTACTCTATCTTTGTCAGTAGCTGATTTTCCTCTAATTGGCTGCATTTGGACCTATAAGATTATAAGTACTATGTTTTCTTTTTTATTTTAAGTCAGGTTTCAAATTTACATGAATTTTTTAAAAGCTTTTGGGACAGGAAACAGGCTCTGCTGTCCCCCAGCTGGGCCTTGAACTCCTGCTCCTGCCTATACTTACAAGTATGCACTACCAAATCAGTGTCATTCAATAACTTATCTTTAATAGGGTTCAAACTTTGTAGTTGTACAGTTCTATGACTTTTTTTTTGAGACAGAGTTTCTCTGTGTAACAGCACTGTCTGACTGCCTGGTTTTCCTGGAACTCTCTTTTTGTAGAACAGGCTGGCCTCGAACTCACAGAGATCTTCCTGCCTCTGCCTTCTAAATACTGGGATTAAAGGTGTGCACTAACACCACCCAGCTAGTTCTATGAATATAGTCATATAGGTAACATATGTTCTATGACTGGGCACAGTGGGCTTGAACCTGGTAATACAGATGTCACTTGAACACAAAGTCATAATGAGCATCACCAAAGCATGAAAGCATGGAGAAAGATTCATTGCAGTAGCAAGGAGAGCACAGGTGTTATGTCCAAGGCAGGGCTCTCCTAGAACAAAGGAACCATGGGATGTTATTCAGGGAGTCTAAACAGTAGCCTTATTCTGAAGTACTCCCTCAATTGGGGAGTATGACACTGAGCATGATCAGTTTCAGGTCATAGTTGAACAAACGATAGGGACCCGCGTTTGGGGATGTGCTTAGCTGAAGGTTGTAGAGCACGAGCATAAACATGGAAGCAATGGGGCCATTGAGCTGGCTCAGTGGTGCCGCCAATAGTGAGCACATGAGCTCAATTCCTAAGTCCCAATAGGTGAGAGAAGAGAACACTGTCACAGGTTGTCCTTTGAACTTCACACATGTATGTGACATTGTGCGCTCCCACACATACGTACTTACACATACACACAGATAAATACTTTTTTAAAAAAACCCAAATTTAAAGTGATGCACAGGAATGCCTCTTTCACCATGGACTTGGCTGAAATGGAAGGAAAGGACACTTGGAAGTGTGTCACTAGGACTCTGCTCCTGAGCATGCCTGCCTTGCTTAGTGGCTACCAGGTCCACACAGCTAGGGACAGGACAGTTTGTTCCACCCCCATTCCAGGTCCTCCTTTCTGAAATGGGAGGCGCTCTTGCAGTTTGGGCAGTTGTGAGAGAAGCGGCTCCTTGATGGGAAGGAAGGAGAAAGCTGTCAGGTAGACATGCAGGAGAGCTTGCCATAATCTCTACAGCAATCATTGCAGGTGTTTGTTTCTGCCAGGGTCCAAGGAGGTCCTGCTCTTATGCTTTGTGGATCTGGAAACCAAGGCTCTGAAGACTTTGGTTCTGTGCTCCAGCCAAAGTTTAGGGGAGCCTTGAACTTGGGTCTTACTACAGTAGTAGCTCGGTTTCCAGAACCACGTGAAAGACATCATCAGAAACTGAACTTATGACTTATGACCAAAATAAGAGCGAACAGGGAACTTTCATAACTGGCAATGCCTAGACGCCTCTGCCACAAACGAACCATTAAGTTAAGCAATTGTCCCTAAGACTCATTCAATAAAAAATGTAAATATAGGGCTGGGGACATGGCTCCTTTGTTAAAATGCTCAGTATGCATGAAGCCAGGATTCAACCATCAGTACTTTTTAAATTTGGCATAGTGATGTGCTCCTGGAATCTCAGCACTCAAGAGGTGAAGGCAGGAGGATCAGGAGTTCAAAGATCAGCCTCTGCCTCTTAAGAGCCCAAGGTTAGCTAGGAATGCAGGAGATGCTATCTCAGTATATACATATACATTTGCATACATTAACAGTTGATTATGTTTAAAATATTTACTTGATATTCTGGAATAGCACAGAAAAATTTCCTCCTTGAAGGGCAGGAGTGTGCCTCTGTATAATTCTTTTTTTTTAAAATTATTTATAAGCTGGTCATTGGTGTCGCACGCCTTTAATCCCAGCACTCGAGAGGCAGAGGCAGGTGGATATCTGTGAGTTCAAGGCCAGCCTGGTCTACAAGAGCTAGTTCCAGGACAGCCTCCAAAGCCACAGAGAAACCTTGTCTCGAAACCCCCCCCCCCAAAAATTATATTTTATGTATGAGTGCTCTGCATGTATGCCTGCATTCCAGAAGAGGGCATCAAATAGAAGAGAGCATCAGATCCCATTACAGATGAGTGTGAACCACCATGTGGTTGCTGGGAATTGAACTCAGGTCCTCAGGTCCTCTGGAAGAGCAGCCAGTGCTCTTAACCACTGAGTCATCTCCCCAGTATTGCCCCTGTAGAATCAGTCCGGGCTCCATGAGACTGTCTCCAAGGGGGGTGGGCAGAAAAAGAAAATTAACTTTATATTGTTATTAGCAGATACCATCTTTTCTTCCTGCTTCCCTTGGAATCAGAAACGAATGAGGAAACATTCCTTAAACTATATAAATGTCTGAGAGATCAACTAGCCCTGTGTTTTGCCACCCAGAGTCCCTGGGCTGTCCTTGGGTTTCTGTCTGCTCTGGTGGGCACTGGAAAATTTTTCCTTATGGAGTCACCCAGTGGCTCATGGGAGATTCCATATCCACTCTCCAGTAGGGTAAATCACTGAACGGAAGGCTGGCTTTACCGGGCTGTTTTCAACAATAGCATTCATAGTATTCTGCGACAATTTCACGCGTCTACTCTCCAGCGCTACGTGTTATTAACTGAAATACCTAAAGATGGCGCTGTGGGTCCAAGAGAAAGAAAAGAAAAAGCTTCGGTGCCTGGGCTAACCTTCCTGATGATCTGGAAGCCTCAAAATGCATTTACACCCCTCGCCCCCGCCGCAGATTTGCTTAAAAATGCCAGAATGAGCATGTGCTTAGAAAAATCATTTGCTTTTTAGACCCCCCCCACCTCTACCCCCAGCTCCAGCCCCCAACTTGGTAAAAAAAATTGCAAAGGGAAAGGATCTAGCCAGGATGGAGTGGATGACGACACACACGTGCCCTTTGGAAAAGCTGCGACTGTCATACGTGACAGCCTAGCTTAAAGGACAGAGCTGAGTGCAAGGGAATGGGGGGAAACCAGATGAAACGAAGTGAGAAGCGAACACAAATAATTGACACCAGAAGTCAACTGCTGAGCTTTTTGGAATGAGGTGAGTGTGTTTCCATGTGATGAGCATATTTTTGTATCTTTCTCCAGCTGTTAATTGAAAGTCAAAAGCTTTGACTCTGGGATTGTCCCAGATCAAAGTCTTCTATGAACATAATCTAGTCTCTGTAGCAGTTTTTCATGGTCACAATTTTCTTTCATTCTCACATATCAACTATGTTAGAACCAGAGATGCTCCCTTAGGAGAAGAAACAGAAAGCAAGGGTGGTGGGAGGGGTGGGGGTGGCTCACTGATCCCCAGTACTACAAAAGCAAGCAAAACAAGGAGATAAAGAGGTTAGAGGGCAAAAGAGTTAAGGCAGAGGGTGATGACCAGATCTGAGATGTCAATGGCTGTCTACCACCTGGGCTGTTGCATCATCCTTTTTGATTTCAAGGAAGCTGTTTGCTTATGAGACTTCTTCCTGACTATTGGGGTTATAGGCCTGGATCACCATGGCTTTTTTGTTGATTGTTTTTGGGACAGGGTCTCACCATGTAAACTTGGCTATAACTTGTTATATAGACCCGGCTTGCTTCAAACTCACAGAGATCCACCTGCCTCTGCCTCTAGAGCATTAATGATGGGATGGAAGGCTTGTGTACCACCATACCCTGTCCACTGTGTTTGGTTTTTACATTGTACTGGGGATTGAACCTAGGGTTTTACGAATGCCAGGCAAGCACTCTACCAACCGAGCTACAGCTGTAGCCAAGTTCAGTTCAAACTGGTCTCAGATTCATGATCCCTCTGTCCCTACTCCCTTTGGCATGTCTCACCATAATGTTAGCTTTTTATTTTGTTTTGGAGAAGTCACACTATGTTGACTATGAAAGCCTTGAACTCACAACCTTTCTGTCTCAGCTTCCCCAGTGTTGGGAACACAGGCACATGTCACCACAACATGGACATTTGGAGATGCTTTAAATGTATGTGTAATCAAGTTGGTCCACACATTGAAAGGATGGTTCTCCAGACATGTGAGCTCTTCTGGTCCAGTTCAACCCGCTGCCAGCACCCTTCCCAGAAACACATTCCTTTCCTGTGGCAAGCCCAGTTCTTCTTTCTGTACTGTGCCAGTAAGGAGCATCTGGTTGCCATTGGCTTGGTGAATCATTAGCTTGTTGAATGGGAAGCATCATCTCTGAATGGCAAAGCAACCTGTTCCCTCCCCTTTCACCAGAAACTGTGTCCTCTGGGCTATTAATGTGGCTTTGATGGGGTTGAAAGCTGCCTGAGGCCTTCCAGGCCCTCTTACATAGCATAACCTTAAGCGGCTCTGTGTGTCTGTGAGGTCCCTCCCCCGCCCCCCCAGACAGGATTTCTCTGTGTAGTCTTGGATGTCCTGGAACTCACTCTGTAGACCAGATTGGCCTTGAACTCACAGAGATCCGCCTGCCTCTGCCTCCTGAGTGCTGGGATTAAAGGAGTGCACCACCACTGCCCTGCAAGTGTCTGTGAGTTTTGATGTCCATGGACAGAGCCTCTGTGTTTCCTTCTGGCTTCTGGGACCTACTCATCACCTGGTCATTTTGGTGGCAGCCTCCTACAGTTGGAGTTCTTACTAAAGGACACCAGAAAGATGATTCTGGTTCCTGTTTGCTTCTGGGATCTGAGTTCTCACTCAACTCTTAAAAAACCCGAATTCTCCCTCTCTCCCAAAGGTGCAGGGATTTTGGGGTTTGTTTGGGTGCTCAGGGAAAAGTATCTTGGAAGAGAAGAAACAGTTGGGGCACTGGTTGGCAATCTGTCCAACTATTTGCAGTGCCGGGATTTGGGGGTGTAAATAATTACAGCAATCATGGCTTTCCAAGAGAAGATTGGGATTCAGATAATTCTGGTGTCCTCCCTCTTAGACAACCTTGTGTTCAGGTGGCTTTAGTTTATGACCTTCTGGGACCATTTAAAGCTATATTCCATTTAGAAAAGCCAACAGCATAGAGTTCATGGATACACGTCATCTGTTTCCTCAGCAGGCAAAACAATCCTGCATTTATTTAGTGAGGTTCTTCTTTTTATTGCTCTCTCTCTCTCTCTCTCTCTCTCACACACACACACACACACACACACACACACACACACATACACACCCTGCCTTATTTTGGGTAGAAATATTGGAAAAATAATTAGTTATCATAGTTTTGCTTCTAGGTGTATCAGCCAACACTCCCCTGGGGATGAGCAGTCTCTAGCATAAACATATGGACATTACTCTTAATGAACTGAATATTAGTTCCATAACATCAGCTAGTGTACAGTCCATATGCAAATACCCACACGTTTCCTCAAATGATTTTGTAGAGCTAGCCCATTTTCTATTCCAAAATCCATTTTCAGTTATTTGCACGGGTATCGTCAGTCCCTAGAGTCTTTTTCAGCCATTCTTTCAACTTTCTATCATCTTTCAAGACTTTGACTTTTTTTTTCTTCTTCTAAGGATTCAGGCCAATTGGTCTTGTAGAGTGTCCCATAGTCTGAATGGTCTGATTGCTTCCTTATGGTTAGATTACAGTGGAAACAGCCATGCCAAGAAATCTGCACTGGTATTCTTGCTTGGTTCTTACTACATCACATCGGGAGGTCCAAGCGTTCATGCCGAGTTTGATTCCTTTCCTAAGACAATGACCACCAAATACCTCCAAGGCAAGATGCAGTTTCTCTGACTACATGGTAAGTAATACATGAGTGGTTTTTGGGATCTGTAGGAATAGCTGGTCCTCTAGTAGGCTTTCATCTGGTGGCCTTGTCTGCAGTTCATCTTTGCATGAACAATACAGGAGGCTGCAAATGACAATTTTCTAATTTTATCCTTCCTCCAATTTATTAGCTGATATTGTAGAATATTCCTTTTCCCTCCAATTAATGAGAGGGGTTACCAGCTGAATTACTTACCCTTCTTGTAGTTGTGATCAAACATATGAATTAACTAAGGGAAGAGGAATTTGTTTGGGCTCAATGTTTGAAGGTATGGACATTTGTGGCAAGGACGACACAGCAGCAGCATAGCTTTCTTTGATGGCAGCAGAAGCATGTATCTGCTTCTTCACATCCAGGTGGATCAAGAGGTGGATCATGACATGCTTTTAATCCCAGCAGTCAGGAGGTTGGATCTCTGTGAACTTGAGAACAGCTTGGTCTGTCGGGCAAGTTCCGGACCAGCTAGGGATACAAAGTGAGACCCTGTTTCAAAACAAAGCAAAATAGAACACATCAAATGTGAGCCTCCACACACACACACACACACACACACACACACACACACACAAACTGTCAAGTTTTTATACATTGCTCAACATGAAAATTAGCTTTTCTCTGCCTCGCTCCTCCACCGCCAGGATTTTCAGTCTTTAGATAAAAGCATTTTCACCTAAATACTTCAGTTATTTTTCCTGGTCTCTATTTCCATATTCTCCATCTGTACATCTGTACATTCTTATACTAATTTAAATGTCATGTTTTAAATATTCTCTCATGACTTCTTTACTCAGAAGATGCTTTGCTGAAACTGTTTCTTCTCTTTAGTCTTTCTTCTCCCACTCTGTCCTCTTTCTGACCACTGTAAATCTGTCACAGGTCTTGGCGAAATTGATATTCATGTGTACAGATGAGGGGTGAACAATTTTCTGTTTTGCTTAGAGATAATAGACATTTTCTTTTTCCCATTTGCTTAGTGGTCTTTGCATCATTAATCTACCCTCATCATCTCAGGCAGCAGAATAAACGTTTTAGGATTTCAAACACATCTCTCAAGCCTTTCTGTTTTTCTTTTTGAAAGGTCTCTTCTGGAGTCTTTCTCCTGAGTGTGTTGGTGGCTCTCAAGGCCTGCTATAAAGCTACAGCCCTGGGATATCCTCTGGCTGCCACTCTGGAATTTTCTCTCCTGGTTCATCTCATTCCCTGGATCCCACAGCCTTGTCGTCAAAGTCATTTTCCTTCTCCTCCTCTTCCATTCCTCTCTGCTCGTCCTTCTCCTTCTCCTTTTTCTTTGATTATGGGTCATGTAGCCAAGGATGCCACTGGACTCCTTATCCACCTCCCCAGTGCTACAATTCCAGGCCTGTGCCATCATGCCCAGCCCCATGTCATCCTTCTTGGTTAGTTTAGTTATCTAACTCATTTCATATTCCAGTGGATTCCTAAGAAATGACGGTAGGAGGATAAATATTTAAAAACACTCCGTGTATAAAATTATGTTAAAAAATTATGTCAGGTACGGGGGCTGAAGAGATGGTTCAGTTGCTAAGGGGACTGACTGTTCTTCCAGAGGACCTGGGTTCAATTCCCAGCAACCACATGACAGTGAACTACTCTAAGATCTGACCCCCTCACACAGATATACATGCAGGCAAAACAACAGTGCAGATATAATAGAAATAAATAAATTATAAAAGAGTCAGGTATAGTGATGGACATCTATGATCTCAGCTGAAGCAGGAAGCTTGTAGGTTTAAGGCCAGCCTGGGTGGCATAGAATCACATTTTGAAATAATGATTCTAGTTTCTGTTCACTTCTGGGGTTTTTATGAAGGCATCTGTTGGCTTTCTACACACTTTTGGGGGTCTTGCTTTTGAACTTATGTTTTAAAAGTTCATAGTGATTTGTTTGTGTGAATTTAAAAAGATGGCTTAGTCATCTAGTAGGTTCTTCTGGACTACAAATTGATGTGCTTCAGTTATGCAGAATTTCCTTGAATTGTTTCCTTTGAAAAAGTTTTTGGTGTGTGTGTGTGTGTGTTTCTATGTCATATGTATGCAGGGGCCACAGAGGCCAAAAAGGGCATGAGATCCTCTGGAGCTAGAGTTGCAGCAGTGTTGGGAACATAATTGGAGACCCCTAGAAGAGCTGGAAGTGCTTTTGACTACTGAACCTTCTCTCCAGCCCTTTGAGTTTTTTCTTTTACACCTATCTCTCCATGTTTTCTTTTCCTGGTATACTCTTTTTCCTATTGTGAGGATGTTGAGCCACTCATGCTAATTTAAACTTTCCATCTTCTCTACTTTACCCCACGTCTTCAGTTTGCAACCTTTTTTTTTTTTTCTGCGCAATTTCCTCAATCTCCCTTCCAATCCTGTTATTGTGGTTTTCAGTTTTGCCACAATAATTTTAATTTGCAAGAACATTAGTCTCTGCTTCTTTCACACCTGTAATCCCAACATTTGGGAGATGGAAGCAGGATGTTTCATGAATGAAGCATTCTCTTAGTGTCTTTGTGCACTTTATTATTTTTTTTATGGAAAATGTTCTCTTTCTGTGTTGTCCTTTTCTTGATAACTCCTTTATTCACGGAGTTTGAACTTATGTTTATTTATTTATTTATTTATTTATTTATTTATTTATTCATCTATCTGTTTTTTACTTAATTTTGAGACAGGGTCTCACTATGTGGCCTCCATTGACCTGGAACTTGCTGTGTGGTCCAGGCTCAGGCTGACCTTGATCTCGGAGAGATCCTTCTGCCTCTGGTGCACCTGCCTCTGCCTCCTGAGTGCTGGGATTAAAGTCAGGTGTCACTCACTCTCCCTTCTTTTTCTGAACCTGGTTTCTGGAAGGATCTCTCTTTACAGCCTCTCTTGCTTCTGTCTGGAAAGTTAACCTTGCCTTTGCATCAGGCCCTGTGTTTAAGACCACAGTCTCTGAGCTTATCTTTACTGACGACAGTTTTATCAAGGGGACACTCAGAAGGCATCTTGTAAGAATGAGGTGACTATAGTTATAATCTGTTGCAAAAGACTTGATATTTGACCTTTTGACAGATGTTCTTTTTGCTTTTGGCAGCTGTCATATTTCAGGGATAGCAGTCAATTACAGCCACCTGAGTGTGACTGCACGGGTGGTCTAAGGTGCTATTATCAATGTTCTTTATAATGACAGCTTTTCACACAGAGTAGTGTCTGGCCGGTGCCACTTCCTCAGGTTTCATGAATGTGCCCAACCTGACAAACAGCACCAGAACCTACAGGAAGCCCTATCCTATTTATATGATGCCTTTTTCTCTCATTCGTAACCATCCTCCTAAGTAGTAAGGGAACAGAGAAGCCTGGAATATGAGGAGAAACCCTGTGATGGGAGAGGCTTTGCAACTTGCTGTGAACATTTTTTTTTTCCTTAAATGACGGGGTCTCATGGAGTCCAGGATGGCCTTGAGCGAACTAGTTGTGTGGCCAAGGATGACCCTGAATTTATGATCCTCCTGCCTCCATTTCCCAAATGCTGGGTATACACGTGTGAGCCACCACAGCTGACAGTAGATACTTTATCCTGTTGGGGTGTTTGGATTATTAAGAAGGGAAGACACTCAACAACAAATATCTCCCCCTTTTTTCTGCTTCTGAGCTTGAACTCAACCAAGACAAACAAATGGATATTAAAATAAGAGCTTTGTTTTCTGATGATGCTGACCAGAATATGAGGCTTCAGATATTTATCTTGTGTGATGGCTAATTTTATGTCAATGGGACACAGGCCAGAGCCATCTGAGAAGAGGGAAGAAGCTCCACTGAGAAAGTAAGATCAGGCTGTAGGCAAGCTTGTAAGGCATTTTCTTTCTTTCTTTCTTTCTTTCTTTCTTTCTTTCTTTCTTTCTTTCTTTCTTTCTTCCTTCCTTCCTTCCTTCCTTCCTTCCTTCCTTCTTTCCTTTCTTTTTTTTCAAGACAGGGTTTCTTTGTGTAACAGCCTTGGCTCACCTGGAACTCACTTTGTAGACCAGGCTGGCCTCAAACTCATCGATCTGCCTGCTTCTGCCTCCCTAGTGCTGGGATTAAAGGTGTGCGCCACCACCACTGAGTAAGATATTTTCTTAATTAGCGATTGATGGGAGAGGGCCCATTCTATTGTGGGTGGTGCCATCTTTGAGCTGGTGGTCCTGGGTTCTATAAGAAAGCAGGCTCAGCAAGCCATAGGGAGCAAGTTAATAATAAGCATCTCCCCTCTATGGCACCTGCATCAGCTCCTGCTTCCAGGTTTCTGCCCTGCTTGAATTCCTGTCCTGACTGCCTTCATTGATGAACCGTGGATGTGGAAGTGCCATGGTGTTTCACCACAGCAACAATAACCCTAAGACTTGTCAATTCATACTCCTGATAATTAACACAGATGAAAACTCTGGGCTCCTGTGTGCAGACAAATCATGGTATAAATGTCACCACACTATAAGGTCCATATCAAACCGTAATGAACTTTCTTGGCAAAATGTCTTCTCTCAGAATGATGTTGGAAACTTCATACTCAGTTCCACAGTCCTGGGAGTTGGTGGCAGATAAGAGGTGATTAGGTCACATGAGCTCTGTGGCCATGAATGGACTAAGGTCTTATTTTTTTTTAATATTTGTTTTATTTTATGAGCCGGCACATATGTCTGTGTGAGGGTGTCAGATCTTAGAGTTACAGTTGTTAGCTGCCATGTGGGTGCTGGAAACTGAACACAGGTCCTCTGGAAGAGCAGCTAGTGTTCCTAACCACTGAACCATCTTTCCAGCTCTCTGTTTTTGAGACAGAGTTTCTCTGTGTAGCTCTGTTTGTCGTGGAACTCACTTTGTAGACCAGGCTGGCCTCAGACTAGGAGATCCACATACCTCTGCCTTCGGCATTCTGGAATTAAAGGCATGGGCCACCACTGCCTGTCTTGCCCTTTCCCACCCCATTCATTCTCCACTTCTTAAACTTTTAAAAT